GCTATCCATGACAACGAAGGACATCGACGACTAACCGGAGCCGGAACCTGTCCACATGGGTCAGCAAACGCATAAACAGCAGTGAACGATGAATTTACCGGGGCTTTGCTTTTGTTCATGCTCTCCCGTACATGATGCAGCTTTCGCGCAAGCTCCTCCCTCTGCTTGCGAGATACTCTTGACGCCTGCTCCAGTTCTGCTAGCCGAGCCACATCGATGTCAGGACTTGACCTAGGACATCTTTCAGCTGATGGTTGTATTTATCGCACGAAAAGGGAGACTTACTGGAAAACATCCTCTAAGTCCTGCGCAATTTCCGACAAGCCCTGTCGCATATGACTGACCGCCTTCCGTCCGCGTTAAAGGCTCCTCAAGGGAAACTATGCTGTCATCTACTTCGCGTCCCATCGCATCCACTATTCGAACAGCACTGCGATTACGAGGAGAACCGTGGTTCTTATCTGGTTTCTCTTCTTGGCCATATTCATCCACGAAGTTTACAGTCGGCATCCTTCGAGATTTGGAGGGTGATACAGGTGTAGGTGGTATATCCGGTATATTGCTATCAATGTTGAGAACAGAAGATGGCTTCAAGATCCCATTCTCTCTAGTCGTGCGGGAGGGGCGTTGCTCATTATGTATAGTTTCTTCACGAAAGTCTGCAGACGAATTCGGTGTTATCTCGGCGCCAGGACTGGTCAGAATCTGCAGGTGGTGGATCAAATCGTACGCTCTTTTTAGGCGTCATAAGCCATCCACCGGGAGGGGCAGGTGTCTGTGGAGGCAGAGAAGTGGTGCGTGCCAATGGAGTCGAGTTCTCAGGAGAGGATGGACCACCATTAGTTTCTTCCTCTACTGGCAGAGAGTTCGATCTGGCAAGTCGTGGAGCTGGGAGTATAGGCCCAAGCGCCAGGCGGTCGTGGTGTTTTCAACACTGCTACCTGGCCGACAGGCTCAGCATCTTGTTCGGATTCGGAGCCAGATGATGGAGGGCCAGGCAATTCCGGGAGTCCCTTTGGAGGTGAAGGGGTCTGATATTCAAGTTGGGAAAATGAGGATCTTCGGTGCTGGGTAGTGAACAACGGCTCTGAACTAGGCGGAGTGGGTGGCGTAGATGGCAATGACAAGGGCGATGATGGCGGTGGGGTGGCAGGTGGGTCAATGGGTCGGTATGAATGTGATTCGTCTCGTATGTTTTGTGACCAAAGCTGTGGGGAAGAAGACTTTCTTTCTTCGGTGTGCAGTTGGTTTAACGTTGTCGTTTTAAGTGTGGGCGTGCTCTCTTGAGGTAAATCCTCTCCATCGGTATCTGGAAAGATATCCGATCAGCGAAGGGCAGCGCTACGTAATTCTAAACCAACCTGTTGACTGCCCGTCATAGGCATTGCCTATATTGGGTGCTTGGCTACTAACAGGCTTATCACGGTCAACGGTCCTTGATTTACCATTAGAATGGCTGGGAGTCCTAGAATGTCCTGACGATTTGTGTTTGTTAGAACTGGCTGTCGAAGGGGAAGGGGAAGGAGGTGGCCTTGGGGCAAGCTTTGTTCGCTGAGAGGTGTCGTTTGGAGTATGTTTCGACAATGTAGACCCCGATCGTGCTCGGCCTTCATTGCTGTTACTATGGGTGGGACTAATGGATGTATTGAATGCGAATAGCGCGATGAAGTACTTCGTGGGGCCGTAGAATCAGGTGGTAACGGAGAATTTGAACGAGACGAATAGCTGATCGTCTTACACGCGACCGGGAAGGAGAGTCGGGGATTGAGAGTCTGGGTGAAGGAGTCCCTCGAGCAGAGACCTGTGAGTCTATGCGAGGTCGTATACCCTTGGAAGATGGGTGTGACGACGTGGAAGCGGTAGGGGATGGCGGGGTCGGTGAATTAGCACGACTAGAATGACTGTGGTGGGTACTCTGATTATACCATGTCGGATGGGGGGAGTTCCAATTCCGCTCTCGTTCATGGTCGACCTCAGCTTGAACCTCTCGTTCACGTTCTTCGTCGGCGCTTGTCCGCGAACCAGCAGGAGAAGCAGAACGAGAACTCGAAAAGGAATTATGGCGCTGGTGTCCTCCTGCTGAGCGAGATAGGCGGATAGCGTCTAAGGAGGACTGGCTTAGACTAGACAGTGTCCGAGAATGGGGCTTATTCCATTGCCGTTCTAGGTCATCGTTGTGTTCAGATTTCATTTCAGCCATCCGTTCTTGGTCTATATGCACGTCAATTGTCAGTTGCCATTAGAATGCTGGATACTCACGATCTGCGTGCGACCCCTCTGAAGTTGCACGGTCATCAAAAGAGTCTACAGAATTCATGCTGTCTCGCCTAGCCAAACCAGAATACCCTGTTGACTTTGGGAAAGAGTGAAGGGATTTCTTATGCGAGGAATCGGTTGAGCGAGAAGACGAATGACTAGTGCGAGACTTTGGCGGATCAGGTTTGGGGGTAGAGAATGACTGGGAGCGCTTCAACTCTGTCAGGCTTCGACTTGTGTTTGAGGATGCTTTAGAACGGTCCACCGTACGTGGACGAATAGTCGCCTGCGGATCTGGCTGTTTCTTTCGAGGTGCAGTCGAAAAAGTAACTATAACAAGCCTTACTATACTGTAAATGAACAGAAAATAATGCGTACCTTTCGGAGATTCCCCTTCATCACTATCGAAAACTTGGAGCCCTCGCTGCATTTCTGAATCGTGATCTAGCAGATCTGGAGAAAAGATGAAGATATGTATGAAGACTGGGACAATGGACAATACATACTTGACTGAGCTTGGAGATAGGAGTTCAATGACATCTGCAATGAGTGCTGGGGAGTGCTTGTAGCAGCTGGAGGCGTTGTCTGGCTGTTACCGAGGTCGTTGACCATAGCTTGGGTGTCAATGCTATCGTTCGCTGAATCTTAAGATAGTTTAGTGAAATTGGACAAGTATATTGAGATGCGACTGACCGCGCATTGAACCAAAGGCACGTGGGGTCTTCGAATTTGCACTGAAGACGTCGGCATCGGAGAGATCAGACCTATGAGAGTGTCCTAAGAGAAAAGGTCAGAACAACTTCAGAATGTGAAGATAGGTACGTACTTTCGATCTCTTCGTCACTCATGCTCTGCCTTCTGCCTATGTTACCTGCTCTCTCTTGCCTCACTTTTTGGGCCCTAGGGCTAGCTTGCACCTCAGTAGCATCGAAACTATTCCGCCTCGGTCTGTTATCTTTTCGTGGAGTGTCTCCTGGGTCGCGCCGAGCACGAGAAAATATACTTCTGATGCTCTCTTGAGCAACACTGGCATTTGAGGAACCAAAATGGGGCTGATCAAAGTCAGACTCTCGTTCTGAAGGTGATGGCGGAGTTGGTATCGCAGTAGACGACGAGGATGGCGGAGGAAGTCTGGCCATGACAGCACGTAGACGGGCAGCTGGAGTATCTTCTGGTAAAGTGGCAGATGTATCCATTATCGAGAATGAAGATAGCAAGTTCCGCGAAGGCTCGTCGCCGATATTGAGCTCAACGCTGTTGCTTGCGATGGGATCCGAGAGGCGTGATGGACCTGACTGTGGACTGTCAAAATTGTTTCGAGGTGTTCGAGATACCCTAAGACGAGGAAGCGGAGGAGGTAGCGCTGATGGAGAGTCCATGTCGAACAGAGGACGAGCTGCGTCTCGTCGCGGTTGCCGATAAACAAGCGTGTATAACACGTGATCAACAATAGTTGTGGCGGTGCTACTGAGTTCCGCCATGTCAGGTGTAACGGACTCATCAACAAAGCGAAAAATACATAATTATAAGTATCCTGGTCCTACCTCTTATTTTTAAATGGTCTTCGGCTGAAAACAAGGGAGCTGTGTGGAAAATTCTGGTCAATCATGCAATTGTGACCAGGCCCTCGGAGAATTGTCCTGATCAACGGACACATTTAGTTTCAACTCAAGCTGTACAGTTATTTACCGGTCAATGAAACAGCAAAACTGGATATTTACTGTAGGTTCCAATTGGTTGGGAATTTTGACTAGGTTTGAATGTAAGAATGTGTAATACTATACAACAATAAGATACAGTAAAAAAAAGATGCTCAAAGGTGCGAGTACAAGTCCGTTTTCACAGCATTATCGTGGCGTGGGTATTCTAGGCTATTTTGAGTCATTGAAACAGTCCGGCCCATATACCCAAACCTCATTAGTCAGCTACTCGGAATCGCTCGAGTGCTATAGAAAAGTGAGATCTCCTTTCCAGTCTCTCTCTGATATACAGCCTCAAAATCTTTGCAGATTTTTCTTGCACCTTTCCGAGGAGCACCAGGTAGTTTGACAAGCTCATTCTTGTATGCAATCATTTGCAATGACTGCCTTTTCCATTAGCTGGTCATGGCATTTGTGAGCAATCTGACACTTTTTCGAGTTTGATTTGGCATGTCCAGGCATAGTAAAAAATTGAACAAGAGGAGAAATAAAGTTCGGAGGCAGCAGGGCAATAATGGACGCATTGGACTGTCAGACTGTCCATCAAAGGTGATGGCTTGGCAGAACCGCACTTTTATTTATGCCCTAGACTCCTCAGATAATGGCCGCTTGGTCTCAAACCTGTCACACAGGTTCTTCAGAAGGTCATTAACATTATTGAGGCCTTTGTGGGTGATTACATTCAGATGGAGGACACACATTTCCAGGTCAGATTTTGAGTTCATGAGAAAATAGATATTTTTAGAACAGAAGCCTCAATTTCTCGGGAATATTATTCATGTCACATATGAAGAATCACTGCAGAACATGAAGATACAATACACATCAGCAATGTAATACAAGTTGATGATGAAGGATGAAGGGAGGGAGAGCAAGAGGCTAAGTGTTTCATTGAACCATGGTGTTGCAATGACCGGTAAATAACTGTATACTATAACCAACGAATTTGTTGTGGCTCGCTGTGATCCATCAATGCATCAAGTTTGAAGCTGAAGGTCTGAGGTTTGGCCTTCCAATGAAGGAATCCAGTCTGTCATCCGCCTGGTCAGCATTCTAGTTAACAGAGAAATGCACGATACACGGGAAAGGGTACGTTAGGGTCCCTGAAAATCCGTAATAAAGCAAATGCGATTGACGTAGGACTAATTGTAAGGATTACTGCAAACCGTATGGATGTAATATGTAAAATGTACCTATGAGTTTGCCGAAGACGGCAGGCACGCTTCGGCAGGTAATTGCCGAAACCTTATGTGGCCAACTGCACAGTCGAGCTGACTCAGGACCTTCGTCGTCTGCATTAGCTTCACCTCAAGACAATATGGGAAAAGGTTCGTCGCCGTCATTGCTGATGCTGTCGTCTCTGTCCATTGACCCAGATACCCCCTAGTTCACGGCTCTCTTGCCCGTGCTGGCAAAGTCAAATCACAGACACCAAAGGTTGAAGCGCAGGAGAAGAAAAAGACGCCCAAGGGCCGCGCCAAGAAGCGTGTTCTATACAACCGTCGGTGAGCAGCTTGACGGCTTGAAAATGGAGGACGATG